TAACGCCGTTCTGGTTTTTCCCCTCCCCACACACACACAGAGGACGGGATCGTGATCAAGACGGAGGAGGAAGAGGAGGAGGAGGACGACCCCGACACCCTGGAGCCGTGCGCCATGTTCTCGGGCAGGACCGAGCCGCCGGCGTTCCCCAGCCACGAGGCCGGGCTGGGCTGCGAGGCGCAGTGCAGCTCCAAAACGCAGCCCAGGAGCCTGGCGGCCGCCCGGGTGAGGAAACCCCCCGCCTGCGAGAGAGACTCCGGGGAGATGAAGCCCACCATGGCCCAGCAGCGGAACCGGACGAGGGAGAGACCCTACATCTGCCCCGAGTGCGGGAAGAGCTTCATGCTCAAGATCAACTTCATGATCCACCAGCGCAACCACCTCAAGGAAGGGCCCTACGAGTGCCACGACTGCGACCTCAGCTTCCGCAACAAGCAGCAGTTCCTGCTGCACCAGCGCAGCCACACGCGCCGGGGAGTGGGGGTCCCCCGGCGCCCCGAGCACGGCCTCAAGCCCCAGCCACGACCCCCGCCTCCGGGGAAGCCCTACAAGTGCTCCGAGTGCGAGAGCAGCTTCAGCCACAAGTCGAGCCTCAGCAAGCACCAGATCACCCACGTCGGGGAACGGCCCTTCACCTGCGGCGAGTGCCGGAGGAGCTTCCGCTTGCAGATCAGCCTCATCATGCACCAGAGGATCCACGCCGGCAAGAGCGAGATGGCTTTCCTCTGCCCCCAGTGCGGCAAGAACTTCACCCGGCCCTCCCACCTCCTGCGGCACCAGCGGACTCACACCGGCGAGCGGCCATACCAGTGCAGCCAGTGCGAGAAGACCTTCAGCGAGAAGTCCAAGCTCACCAACCATTACCGCATCCACACCCGGGAGCGCCCGCACGCCTGCGCCGTCTGCGGGAAGGGTTTCATCCGCAAGCACCATCTCCTGGAGCACCAGCGCATCCACACGGGCGAGCGGCCCTACCACTGCACCGAGTGCGGCAAGAACTTCACCCAGAAGCACCACCTCCTGGAGCACCAGCGGGCGCACACCGGCGAGCGGCCCTACCCCTGCACCGAGTGCACCAAGTGCTTCCGCTACAAGCAGTCCCTCAAGTACCACCTGAGGACGCACATGGGAGAGTGAGGGGCTGCCCGACGGCTTCCTCTCCCTCCCTCCCCTCCCTCCATCCATCCATCCATCCATCCCTCCAGCCTTCCTCCTCCTCCTCCTCCTCCTCTTCCTCCTCCGCTCATCTCTCCCACCCTCCCTCCATCCCCTTTCCCCACCCCTGGCTCAGGGCATGGACATCAAGGAAGCTTTGTGTGGTAGCGCCGCTGGTCTGGTGGAGACGGCTAGGCTGATTGGAAATAAATTAATTAATTAAAGCAAGCAACGCGCGGCAAAATTAAAAGATTAAATATATATATAAAATTAACAGCAGCAGCTGATTTAGGGGGAATCCTCACCATCAGAAAGGAGAAAAACAAAAAAAAAAGGCAAACAACAACAAAAGAAACCCGTGCAGGGTGTTTTGCTGGAGTAGGACTCTTAACTGCTTTTTAAAATCTACTGTTTGTTTTTTTTTTTAATAAATGTGGAGGAACTTTTTATTTGATAAGCAAAACTTAGGATTGCCAAGATGCTTTTTTTTTTTTTTTTGGTTTTAAAAAAAAAAAAAAAAAATTGCTCTTCAGGCTGATTGATCCTGCCAGGGTCGCTCTTTTGTCCAGGAGCTCTGCAGAGACGCTGCCCCGTCCCAGCTCCGTGGGCTGGACGCGACAGTCGCTCAGCGGCGCGCGGGGACAAGGAGCTGGTGTCCAGGGGGAGGTGAGTAATAAAATAGATCCAGATGAGGAGGAAATTCTCCGTGCGTGTCTAGATTGGAAGCGCTGGTAGGTGCCTGCCCGGCTCCGGGGGCCTGTGATGCACTCATGAATTATACAATAGAATAAAATACTAGTTGCAGTAAAAAGAACCTTTTTCTGGTAGGACCCCGTCAGCGAGGCTCCTCCAAACACTCATTTCTAGTGCTTCATCCTTCCCGCAGCGGCAAACGCCTTCCGGGCGATGGGCACCACGAGAGCCGGCACCGGAGGCATCGGTGTGAGACGCGGGGTCTCGCCGCGGTGGGGGCACGACATCCCCGTGCAGAAGACCTCGCCGTGGTTTAACTGCTCTTCTCTCTTCGAAGAGAGAAGGTGGCATCCACCACACGCTTCCAGGCGGTGGGAACAGCAGGACTTTGGTCCCAGGATGGTTCCAAGAAAAGCCCTGGCCGGCTCGGGGTCACCCATGGGAGACCACCCCGCTCCCGGGCTGCCGGGGTCTCTTGCCACACGGTGGGTGGGACACGGGTCCATCTCCTTGCTGTGGGTTTGAGCTCCCGTCTCCAGCAGCTCTGGTTCTCCGCGTTCCCCGCTCATCCTCCTCCCAGCTCCCGCTGGGTGAGATGCCGGAGCGGTGACACCAGCTCCCCGGTCCCGGGGGTCCCCGGCCGAGGGGTGCCGTGGGGACGGCGGTGGCAGATCTCGCGTTGGACGGTGGCATCAATAAACAGAGCGATGATGGGAGAAGTTGTCGGGACCCTTTAATGCCTTCACAGAACCAAAGTCCTGGCTGCAGGGCTTTCCGTGCATATGAACCTCTCCAAAATCTGTAATTTGAAGCATTTTCTGTGCTAGAGAAGGTGCTGGGGTGCTGAGAGCTGCTGGTTGGTCACCACCACAGAGAATAACATTTTGGGGCTGCCAGGGCAGGCTCCAGCTGAGGTTCCTGATGTTGGGGGGCTGCTTGAACCTCCCTGGGAGCAGTTTGGGGTTCTGGGTGGTGGCGTGCAGTCTGACGGGGGTTAAATGTGCTGCCACGGGGCTGGTGTCCCGGGAGGCAGTGGCACCGAAAAACCACAGAGGTGGTGGCGCCGCAGGGCACAAATGTGGGGGTGGCACGTGCCACGAGCGGCCCCGTCACCCCTGAGTCATCTGCAAGTTCTTGGCACCCTCCAATTAATCACAGGCAAGTTCGTTTGGGGAGTGCTGAATGCTAAAACACCACTTCACTGGGGGGTCCCAGCACCATCCCACCGCAGGACTGACTCTCTGAGGGCTCATGTCATAGAGTCATAGAATCATTGAGGTTGGAGAAGACCCTTGAGATCCTGAGTCCAACCATCAACCCAATGCTGACAAAGCCACCACTGACCCATGTCCCTCAGCACCACGTCTGCCCGGCTTTTCAGTCCCTCCAGGGATGGTGACTCCACCACTGCCCTGGGCAGCCTCTTCCAACAAGCCTTTCCGGGAAGGAATTGTTCCCAATTTTCATCCTAAACCTTCCCTGGTGCAACTTGAGGCCATTTCCTCTTGTCCCATCGCTTGTTCCTTGGGAGAAGAGACTGTCCCCCCCTGGCTACCCCCTCCTTTCAGGGAGTTGGAGAGAGCAATAGGCAGCAGCCCCGGGGACGAGCAGAAGCCACCACCATCCCCACTGGGGTGTGAGGTGGGCTGAAAGCATCATGCCCCCCCCATGGCAGGTGCTGGGACGGTGTCTGGGGACCCACGGGGAATCAGGGGCTTTTTGTGGGGACAAAGCAGTGCTTTGCTAACCATCCAAAGCCCCCCGGGTGTTTTGGGGCTGGGATGAAGGCAAAGGAGATGTTCAGAGAGCCAATGGTGGTGATGGGGTGGAAGCCAGAGCCCCCCCTGCTCCGGGGTGGCCACTGGGCTTGGTGGGATTTCATGTGAGGGGGCAACCGGCCCCTGGGAAGCAGCTCAGGGACCGGATTACACTCGGCTCCTGCGTGTCCCCGCTGCGGCAGTGACACAATCCCTTAAACTGCTCACTCGGGCTCACACTCACACTCACACTCACACTCACACCATCCCTCCCCTGGCCGTGGCTGACGGCGTCATCCCTGCTCCCGCACAGACACACGTGTCCACACGTGCACGTACACACACGTATACACATCCATGCACACACAGACACAAATGTGCACCCACACACAGGCACACGTGTGCAAAACCGCTCACACTTGCGCACACGCATGTACACACCACGCACCGCACACAGACATAAGTACACCCGGACGTGCCTGCGTGCACATGCTACACGTGTGCAGATGTGTGCACAGCCACAGGGACATGCACACCCCAGACACACACAGACTCACACCCACACACATGCACGTGCCCACGCAAAAGCAGGTGTCAGCAAAGCACACCCGCACCGATGCACACACACAAACACACCAAAACACACGCACAGATACGTGTGCACATGCAGCTCTACATGTACAGACACGCCTGCACACGTGCACTCATGTACATACAACACCCCCTGTGCACACAGATGCTGTGGGGACGGGCTGAGAGAGTTGGGGGGGTTCAGGCTGGAGAAGAGAAGGCTCCGGGGAGACCTTGGAGCCCCTTCCAGTCCCTCAAGGGGCTCCAGGAGAGATGGGGAGGGACTCTGGATCAGGGAGGGGAGCCAGAGGAGGAGGGGGAAAAGGTTTTAAGCTGAAAAAGGGGGGATTTAGGTGAGATCTTGGGAGGAAATTCTTTGCTGTGAGGGTGGTGCCATGTCCCATCCTTGGAAACACCCAAGGTCAGGTTGGAGGGGGCTTGGAGCCACCTGATGTGGAACAATGGACCTGTCTAGATCAGAAGGAGCCTTCAAAATTGAGTCTAAAGGTCTTTAAGTCTGAAGATCCTCCACCTCCAGGGATGGGTGAGGGTGGTGAGAGCCTGGCCCAGGTTGGCCAGAGAAGCTGTGGCTGCCCCATCCCTGGAGGGGTTCAAGGGCAGGTTGGAGGGGGCTTGGAGCAACCTGGTGTGGTGGGAGGTGTCCCTGCCCAGGGCAGGGGGTGGCACTGGGGGGGCTTTAAGATCCCTCCCAACCCAAATCCTTCTCTGGTTTCCACTCCCCGGCGGTGTGACAGCGGCGCACAGTCACACACACAAACACACACACCCCCTTCTTCCCCCCCCGCCCCGTTCCGGGAAACGCCGTTCCCCGGCAGCAATGGCGCGGGCCCTGCTGGCCCTGGGCGACAACCTGCAGGCCGAGGCCACTTGCCCCATCTGCCTGGAGCTCTTCTCCCAGCCCGTCCTCACCGAGTGCGGCCACAGCTTCTGCCGGCCCTGCCTGCTGGCCGTGCTGGGGACCCCCCCTCGCCCCGGCCCCTGTCCCCAATGTCGCGCCACCGTAGCCCCCGACTCCCTGCGGCCCAACCGCTCGCTGGCGGCGGTGGCCGGGTTAGCGGAGGCCCTGGGCGAGGAGGCCCGGCAGCCCCGGTGCCCGACCCACGGGGAGGCGCTGGGCCTCTTCTGCCAGAGCTGCCGGCGGCCGCTCTGCCCGCTCTGCCGGGAGGGGGCCCCGCACCGCGACCACCGCGTCCTCCCCGCCGAGGAGGCCGCCCGGGAGCTGCGGGTAAGGGGGGACACGGGGTGTGTGTGTGGGGAGTGTGTGTGTGTCTGGGGGGAGACGGGGAAAGGGCTGGGGGGCATCCCCGGGGAGCGGTGGGGACGCGGCTGCGGTGTCCGCCCCCCCGGGCACAGGGCAGGGCACCCGCCGGGTGTGGGCTGGGGTCCCCCCCCGGAACAGGTTGGGGTTCCCTCCGGGTACGGGCTGGGGTCCCCTCCAGGAAATGGTCTGTATCCCCTCTAGGCACAGGTCTGGGGGTCCCCTCGGGGCACAGGTTGGGGTTCCCTCCGGGTACAGGCTGGGGTTCCCTCTGGGAGTAGATCCGAGTCCCCTCCAGGCGTGGGCTGGGGTCCCTCCCACGCACAGGTTGGGGTCCCCTCTGCACATGGACTGGTGTTCCCCTCGGGCACAGATTGGGGTTCCCTCCAGGCATAGGTTGGGGTCCCCCTGGGGCACAGGTTGGGGTTCCCTCTGGGCATGGGCTGGGGTCCCCTCTGGGAGTGGATCTGAGTCCCCTCCAGGCATGGGCTGGGGTCCCCTCAGGGCACAAACCTGGGGTCCCTCCCAGGCACTGGTCAGGGTCCCCTCTACGCATAGATCTGTGTCCCCTCTGAACATGGGTTGGGGTTCCCCTCCGTTCATGGACTGGGGTCCCTCTGGAGCACAGGTTGGAGTTCCCTCCAGGCATGGGCTGGGGTCCCCACTGGGCACAGATGTGGGGGTCCCTCCCAGACACAGGTTGGGGTCCCCTCTAGGCAAGGATCTGCGTCCTCTCTGCACGTGGGCTGGGGTCCCCACTGGGCACAGATGTGGGGGTCCCTTCCAGGAATGGGACTGAGTCCCCTTGGGGGTCCCTTCAGGGCACAGGGCAGGGTCCCCTCTGAGCATGGATCTGGGGTCCCTCCCAGACACAGGTTGGGGTCCCCTCTAGGCAAGGATCTGCGTCCTCTCTGCACGTGGGCTGGGGGTCCCCTTGGGGCACGGGCTGGGGTCCCTGTCCAACCACAGATCTGGGTCCCCATCCATCTGCTGGGTGGGGTCCCCATCTGGGTACAGGTTTGGGGTCCCCATCTGGGTACGGGTTTGGGGTCCTCATCTGGCCATGGCTTGGGAGGGTCCCAATCTGCCCATGGCTTGGGGTACCCATCTGGCTGCAGATTAGGGTCCCACGTCTGGCCGCTCACCCCTCTGTGGCCCTGCAAGGTCCCTGGTGCCCCGAACGTCCCCCCTCAGGGATCCAGGGGACGTGGTGTCCCCCAAAAGATGCAGGCTGGGGTCCCCCCCCTCCAGCAGCTCGCTCTGCCGCAGGGCATGGCTTGGAGGAGCGGGAGGGGGCTTTTTTTAATACTTCAGCAAATTTATGGAGCGCGTCTGAGACACGGCGCTGCTGTCACTGCAAACCTCTTCCCACAAATCCCACTTCCAACCCCAAAAGTTGTTTTTCCTAATTAAAAAAAGGAAAAAAAAAAAAAAAAGAAAACCAAACCCAAACCACAAAGTTCAGGGTTTCCACACGAAGCTGTTCCAGAAATGTTTCTGGCTAAAGCAGCTGCACATGGAGAGAGGCGGGTGCTGGCTCAAACCCACCCCAGTGACCCCACGCAGCAGTATTGTCCCCACAGGGACTCTTTGGTGACATCTTTTCACTAATGTAGCTCTAAAATCACCAAATATGCTTTTTTTATTCTTTCTTTTTTTTTTTTTCCCCCAGGAGACAATCCAGACCAACCTGGTTTTTCTACAAAAAGAGAAAAAAGAATTTAAGCCCCAAGGAGAAAAGCAGAGCGATGGCCTGCTGGTGTGTGTTCCCTCCCCGTGCGCACGCCGTGCCCCCCTCTCCACTTACCCCCCGTCTTCACGAGCACGTCCCATATTTCCCTCTCCCCATATATATTTGTCTCCTTTTCCATAACAACACAATTCTCTCTCTCTTTCTCTCTCCATCCTGTCTTTCCTTCTTCCACCCTGCTTTCATTCAGACTCCGCTGTCATCCTGGCTCTGTCAACATCCAGACTTGCCACCCCTGTCTCTCCCAACTCTGCTCTTCCGGCTTTTGCTCCTCAAAAACTCTCCTCCTTTTCCCCACCATCCTTGCCCCCCACCTCTCCCCAGTGCCGGGTCCCTGTGCCCGGAGGACGGGCTGGCTCAGTGGCCCCCGTGCGGGTACCTTGCAGGAGAAGGTGGCCTTGGAGAAGAAGAGGCTGAGGGACACCTTCAAGGAGCTGCGGCAGTTCCTGCAGGAGCAGGAGGGTCTCCTGCTGGCCCAGCTCGACCAGGCACATGGGGACCTCACCAAGGAGCGCGGCCAATATGTCTCCAGCATTTCAGAGAGGAAATCACTGCTGGACACGCTGGTTGTGAAGATGGAGAAGAAACGTGACCAGCCGGTGGTGGAATTCCTTATGGTGAGGGCTGCATCACCCACCTGGGTGCTGTGACTGGGAGCGACTGTCACTCACTGCCCCGGGGACTGTGGGTCCTTCTCGGGGGTCCCAGAGCTGACCTGGAGTTTTCTCTCTTCCAGGACATTGACAAAATCCTGAGCAGGTATGGAATGGGCTCGGCGTCACTCTCCTCCCGTGGGCAGAGGTTTGGAAACACTCAGCAACAACCCTGAGGGAGGTGGCTTTGCCCTGCTGAGTATTTGGGATTTCTCTGGAGGCAGAGCTTGTTGCTCCTCCATTAAAGATGGAGTTTCCGTGCCAATAGCTGGGACACAGCTCCCCCAAGTTGCTGTAGGGGGTTGTCCCCCCATTTCTGTCCTGGCTGCTGGGGTCAGAGCTCCTCTCCGTGTTGTTTCCCCCCACAGCTGTGAGGAGGCAAAGGCCCCGATCCCGGAGCCGGTGTCCCTGGAGCTGCAGAGGACCGTTAGGAACCTCTCTGAGATGAGCCAGCTGGTGGTGGGTGCAGTGGGCAAATTCAAAGGTAAAGCAAAGCAGCGGTAATAGGGCAATACCTTGCTGTGTAGTCGGTGTCTGGGCCCCAGGGGGGCTCCGGGCACTGCTGTCCCCATGCTGTCCATCCCCTGGGCTTGGCTGCAACCAGAGTTTGGGAGCCTGGTGCTTCTGCCCGGGGTTTGGCAGCAAAACTCTGCCCAGGGTTTGGCAGCAAAACTCTGCTCCAGAGAGGACATGTCTCTGAGATGGGCTTTGCTGGAGTCCAGGAGCTGAGGAACAGGCTTGTTGCCCTGATGGGGAGCGGGAAAGGTGCCACAAGAGGAGCGAGACTGATGGATCTTTCTTTCCTTCCTCTAGTGAACCTGCTGAGAGAGACAGACAGAGAAAGGGGTAAGTTTCTGCAGCTGCTGGGCACAAACGAGGGAGAAAAGCTTTCCAGAACGATTTTCCTTATGTTCTTGGGGTAGAGATGGACTCGCACAACAATATCTAAATCTGGGTGCCTTTGTTTTGACTGGGCCTGCTATAAAAATTCAGGTCTGTCCCCATGCCAGGCAACGCCCAGTGACACTGTCCTCTTAACACCAAACGAGGGCCGGGACAGCGTGAGGCCCTCAGCGTTCCTGTCCCTGGAGACTTTAGCTTCTTTCTCTGAGATGTGCAAGGCTGTGACTAGTTAAGAAAAGGGGCTGTATGCATTTTGAGCTGGCAAAGATCAGAAATCCTTTTGCAGATGCCCAGGGTCCTTGTGGTCCTGGCAGCGTGGCAGGGCTGGGGGCTGGCGGGCACCGGTGGGGCTGAGGCCGGTCTCCCAGTCTCTGCCCTCTTGCTTTTTGGGGTGAGGGACCTGGTGCACAGGATGAGCGTGCCTCAGTTTCCCCCCACGCTGCAGTCCCCACCGTGAGCCGGGGCCTCTGGAGGAGTGGGCTTAGCAGACAGCCCGGGGTGGTGGCAGTGTGCGGTGACACAGAATCACAGAATCTTCTAGGTTGGAAGGGACTTCAAAGATCATCTTGTCCAACCGTAAAAAATTATACAATAACACCTCTGTGACCTTGCGGGACGGCCGCGGGATGGCAGCAGAACATCCCACATGAGCTGGTGGCTGCAGCTCTGCAGTGAGACTACTCAGCAGAGCTGGTTTTCCTTCTGGTGACACTTGTCCCCCTCGTCACTGGAGCGAGGACTGGCCCGCCACCACTGCTGCCTTGCAGCCAGGGGGTACATTGCTCCCCCACACCCAGCCTGGCTGCAGCCCTGTCACACCTAGACCCAGCGATACCCAGCGCAGGAGCAGCAAAGCAGGTTTAGCAAAGTCCATTGTGTCTGTCCCCTGCATGGGGGACACTGCCTGGCTTAGTCCTGCTGCAAGGGAGCGTTGCTTCGCTTGTGGGTCCTGGTGGCAGCGAAGAACCCGTGCCCCATGTCCCGTACGGGCCAAGGGGGCTGTGGGTGCTGCTCATGGAGCACAAGTACTCGCTGTGCTCACAGGACACGTCCCAGCCACGTGGGAGAGGAGGGAGAGATGCTGGTTTGCTCCTCAGCGGCCGACAGACTGACGTTTGTCTCTGTCCTTCATCAGTGAAGGTGACGCTGGACCCAGAGACCGCAAGCCCATACCTGATCGTCTCGAAGGACCGCAAAACCGTGCGGCTGGGAGATGGACAGGGAAAACTCCTTGACACCCCCAAGAGATTCACGGGCAGCCCCAGCGTCCTGGGCTGCCAGGGCTTCACAGCCGGGAGGCATTACTGGGAGCTGGAGGTAGGGGATGGGGACAGCTGGGCCGTAGGGGTGGCCTCGGAGTCCGTGCGGAGAAAGGACTCGCTCACCATGGCCATGGGGAAGATCTGGGCCCTGCGGCGGGACTGGAATCGCCAGTACACGGCGCTCCACATGCCCCCCACCCCGCTGGCGCTGAAGGAAGAGCCCCGGAGAATCAGGGTCCACCTGGACTACGAAGCAGGCCAGGTGACGTTCTACAACGTGGAGAACATGACGGAGATCTTGCAGTTCAAGGCCTCCTTCACCGAGAAGGTCTTCCCATACTTTTGGCTCTGGTCACAAGAATCCTACATCCAGCTCTGTGCCTGATGGGGTAGGTTGCTTCCCGGTCCCCTGTGCGTGCCTGTGGCCAGTTGAGCAGGCAAGAGGCATGGGAATGACGCAGCATCGCGTTGTGAGCTCACTGCAGCACTGCCTGGGCTGGATCCCCTCTGCACTCTGCTACATCTCCTCCTGTGGAGTCCTTTGGAGCATTAAAGATGTATTGTCTTGCCTGAGGGTGTCTGCATGCTGGTATCCTGGCCAGATCTCCCAGTGACAAATGTCCCTCCTGTCCCTTTGGGCACTGAGGACACGCACAAATAAGCAGGAGAGGGGCAGGGAAGATGCTATAGTTGCCCATGTCGGTCCTTGGCAGTGCTGCATGGCTTTGCTTTGGCTGGGTGTGGTGTGCTGTGTTGTGGGCAGCGTGGGTATGCAGCCACCCCTGCACCCAGGAGCTCAGGGTGGAGCCACAGAGGTGCTAACTGCTCACCTAAAAATGTTGCTTGAAAGGAAAATGTTCAGGGAAGGGACAGGGAGAGCTGGAGTGAGGGCACAGCCTGAGCCTCTCCAGGCTGGAAGATGAGGGTGTGATGGGGATCCCGGGTGGTCAGAGGGGGAGGAAACACCACCTTGTCTACTCCAGGACCCAGGAGCGTCATGTGAATCTGGTGGGTGGCAAGGCCCAGGCAGAGGGACACGGCTCATGGCTCACGCCCTGGAGGTGTGGGATCCCCTGACCAGGTCTTTACATCAGACTGAGGACACTGGACCCAAGAGCAGCCGGAGACAGTGGCCTCTGAAGCCACCACAGGGAGGTCCATCAGAGCACGGCTGGCTCGACGGGAGAGATCTGCACACCCTGTCGTGAGAAGAAGACGCATGACCTGCTGGAGCCACGCTGCTTGTCCCGAGCACTTCACTGTGTCCCCCTGTTTTTCCACCTGTAAAATGGGACCGTGTGTTTTGGAGCTGGGAATGCTGCCCCTGCACCTCTGGTGTCCACAACCGTGCAGGCCTGAGGAACAACCCACACAGGGAGCTCCCTCCTTTCCCCAGCACCACCATTGCTGCCTCCATCCTGGACCGTAGGCAGGGGACAGGGCAGGGTGAAGGCAAGGCGATGGGTCCTTTGAAAAGATGGATGTGTGTGCATTTTTAAGGCAAATAACAGCACCTGGGTGAATATTGCAGCCTCTTGAAGGCAGAGGATATGAGCAGAGGTTATTTGGAACCACCTAATTGCACTGCTTTCTGCACCCGGACCCGGGAAGGGCTCCGAGGGGCGGTTATCTGCTGAGTTTGTGCCCTTTTTCTCCTCTTCTTTATCAGTTTTTGCCTTTTCCCCCTTAGGCCTAGGGCAGGAGGGGGAGACTACATTTCCCAGCATGCAACGCAGAGGGCCCATGCCACTACCTGAGGCATCCCATTGGCTGGCTTCCCTATTGGCCAGGAGCCACGTCTAGCAACAGCCGGAGGCGGGGCGTGAGCCGCCCGCCGCCGTTCCTACTGGTCGGGACGAGCGGGGTGGGCGGGGAGAGTTGAGAAAAAGCCCCCGCCCCCTGTTTTGATTGGCCACAGGGAGGTTTGGCGCCAGCTTCGGAGCGGGGCGACGGGTAGCGGCCGGGGTCAGAACGGTGCGGGCGGCGCTGACAGGAGGACGGCGGGCGGGCTCGGCTCCATGGATTCTACACCGTGCGGTTCTTACCGGCGCCGTCGCCTCCTCCTTTTCTCCCCGCCTTCTCCCGCTTCACCCGCCGTCGTCAAGTCTCTTTTTCCCGACGACCTCTCGCCGGTTTCCGACCTCCGCCTCACCATGGAGCAGCTGGGACGAGGGTCAGTCTGCTGCCCCCGGGCACCCCCCTCCCTCCTGAGGGCACAGAGGGCCCGTTCCCCTCCTTTCCCCCCTCCAGGGACCCCAAGCGAGGCCTACGGGACCCCTCCGCCATGTGATGCCTTGTGGGCCT